TTTAACAATTCGTTTGATGAGTTGCAAGAAGGAACTATTGAGGAAAGAGATAAAAGAGCAAGGAAAGTTTTTGGCGAGAATTTGCAGAAGCTGAAGGAATTGAAACGAAAATATGATCCAAATGTTCTTTTTGATAAATGGGTTGTTGTGTGGCCTAACGACGTATCATGCGCCCCCTTTCGGGCTTCGATTTAGTTTTATATTCAGATAAATCTTGATATGGATTGATTAATATAAATATATATAAATTTCATATAACGATAACTTGTTTAAATTTTTACACTTAAATTTATAAGGTATAATTTAATTTCGATGATTGCAAATCAACATGGTTTTTGAATTTTTAATGATAATATTTCGAGTATACGTACGTACCTTATTGTGGACGGACTATTTTAAAATATTGTAAAATATCTTTGGAATAGTAAATGACTATGATTAATACATGTACTTTTAACCAATTAACACAAGCTCCTGTGTAGTGTTGTACATGGAACATCGTGGACAGATTTCGGACATTGTGTAACCAACTTTGATGTCGAATTACGCGAAATATTATTAAGACAAGTTGTCTTGAACTACTAATTAAAGATGTTCACAATTGATTTTTGCATATATCTACAAAGTTTCGATATATATTTATATATAACACAAGAGTACGGACGTCCGCGGACCGGACGCGGACATCTCCAAAAAGTCGCGGACATCCAAAATGTACAACACTGCTCCTGTGTAACACGCAAAACTCAAAACTGAATAACTCAAAATTTTATTAGAATTTTAGGTATATGCTAAAGTACATTAAGAACTAGCGCCTTATCTCGTGAAATTTCTAATAAATTTGATAATTGGTAAACTACCTGGCCTGGCTTTAGTGTTCACCCTTTGGTTACAATAAGATTTGTTTTATAGCGGTAGCATGCATAGTGATCCAAGCTGGCAGCAAAATATCAACGCGACTAAGTTAGAATTTTTTGCTTCAACTAGCTGGTTCAAGTCGATAGTTATTTATGTGCTTGTATCAAAGCCTTACATGAGCCAAGTGCAATAGAACCAGTGTAAATTGTATCATAAATTCTAATACAATTTACACCGTTTCTATTACAACATGAGGAAAAGAGTTCCTGTACCACATTGATAACAAAAATTATTTTGTCCTAAAGTATCGATCGTACCAATTTCTATACACAATGTAATAACGATAAATATACGTGTAATGGTAAACAAAACAATAGAATAACGATACTTTCAGGAACAATTTTTTAAAAGGATATTGTTGTCAATTTAATTTAATAAAGTGTAAATATAAAGTAAAATAGTCACCATTTCTTTTTTACGATGTTATTTTTACTTTGTTGGAGTGTTTCATCGTGAATCTGTAGTTTTTCTTGGCAAGTCGCTCGATATCTCTTGATTCATGTGGTATCCTAAAATCGAAATCTGTTTGCATACCTTTGTTGAAACAAATAAACTGACATTTGTAGAGCCTAAATATTCAATATAATTTTAATTAATATGAAATGTTAATAATGTCAATATGGGATTGAAATTAATTTTGTAGTAAAGATTCGACTGTATTTGAGCGACTTTGTTGTTTCTTGTTCGTATTTGTTTGTAGGAAAACTTTTTTACGTTCACTGCCCCGGATAAAGGTACGCTACCACGAAAATGTATGGATGCATTACCACAAAGGTGGATCGCTACACGGAGGTTATTATTTTTATTTTTTTTAGATTCACTACCCGGATAAAGGTGTACTACCACAAAGGTGATTTCTTTTTATTTTTTTTAGATATACTACCCGGAAAGAAAAAAATAATTGGGACAAAATCAACAGCAAAACAACGACTCCTTTACTTTAAAAAACAAGTAAAAAGTCGGAGAAGAAACTTTGAAGAAAGAAAAGCTAAAGAAACATCTCTCAAAACAACTCACAACACTGAGTGTAAACAGAACTAGCAAGAAATTAGTGTGAATAGCACTAACAAGAAAGAAGTGTGGATATACTACCATAAAGTTAATTAACTAGAAGCGAGAAAAGTTAAAGGAAAGAGTAACGGGACAAAATCAGCAGCAAAACAACTTACTTTGAAGAAAAGAAATAAGAATTGAATCATACAATGTAGATCGTTAACGGTAGAACGTAAATAACGACATAACCAACCAATCAGAATTAAACGTAAACTTGTCCAACTAAGCTACGTTTTACTGTTATGTACATGTACCGTGATTTGCATTTTTATGAAACAGATATCGTTATGTATTCAACATCGAGATTTGGTTATCAATAGCGATAGATAATCATTTTGTTATAATTGATTTTATCCCACAATTTCTGTCAAGTGAAACTCAAGTAATCCAAAATTTGATATATATATATCAAATTCACGATATGATAACCGTACTAACACTTGCATTTCAGGCAGAAGCATCCCTCGCTGGTCGAGGCTCTAAACAACCCACCTTCACGCTATGTAAGAGCTTGAAGGAGATGGCGTTGGGGGATCTTCGTGAGACTTTTGTGTTTTTTTGCAATAAGGATTGACAGTAATATACCAAATTTTCCAAATGAATATAATTTCTTCATACTAGTGATAGGAATCGATTCTAAGTCGATTCTCAAGTAGATATGTATATATATATATATCTCTCTCTCGATATTATTATTTTTTATTACTAAGAATCGAAATACCTAGTCCAGGAATTTATTATTAATCGATTTTTATTTATTAGCATTAGGAAAAATCTCAGTTTCTTTTAATAAACATAATTTGTTCAACCAAATGGCTATTTAATCGATTTTATTTATGTGTAATTAATAAGTTTCCTGCCTCTGAAAATAGATCGATTCTCAAGCACAAATTACGACGACGACGACAGCAATAACGATGGCGATGGCGATGACATAATTGGTTTTGGTTTTCATTGCATATTATTTTTTTCTCTTTTCGCTGGAATAGTTGAAGTTGTACTTTGATTAATTGAAATTATTCTTTTATTTGTTGAATTCGTAGATACTAACAGTATAGAGGCAATTGAAGTATCGTTATCAGATTGAGATTCTGTATCTGTTTCATTACATGTATTTTCTGTTGTTTTATAAATATATCATCCAAATTGGATCAATGCTAGTTACTTTTTGCATTAGTATCATTATCAGAGTTATTAAACTCTATATGAGCAATAGTTTCTTGGTTATTATCAATATCAACATTTTTGTTAAATGATGGAGTATGTAGTTTGTCATGTGTTGTAGCATTTGCATTTTTTTCGCAAGCGAAAATTATGAGTTTCCAATTATTTACATGATTTATCGTTATGTATGCATTATCCATATCGTTATTAATCGATTTTGTCTTTAAAATTGATTCTAAAATTTTAATTGATTCTTAAAATTTAATCGATTCAAAATTTTAATTGATTTTCAAATACTTGTATCAATCGATTCTACAAAATTAATCGATTCTCAGAATCGATTCCTATCCATGACAGTCTCTGATTAATGATTTGTAATATAATAATAAAACCAAAACTATTCCCATTGCAATAATTATCACACCACTTTAAAAAATGAAACAAAGTGATCCTTCAAGCCTGTCAGACAGTCAATATGCTCAAAAACCAGTCGTTATATCGAAATTTTAAACAGTTTACAACGTCTTGATGCATACATATCATGCAGTTAATTATGTTCTGTGGTAACCAGTCTGCTGTATAAGTACAAAAGAATGTAATTTTATTGTATTATATTATAACAAGTCAAAGTTAAATAAATGAATTTCATCTTTTGTATCGATGCAATTAATAGCTACCATACTCAGAAGGCATATATATCTGATATCTAATGGAAATTCATCTGATGGATTCTAAAAATTATGGTAATGTCAAGTCAAACTAAGAAAAGAAGAGAACACAATGACAATTATGATAAAAAATTATCCAAAAGAATTTAATTCAGTAATTTTGTCAACAAGCCAGCCAATATAGAATGCATGGCAAGAGATGCACAAAAAGCTCTTCTTAATTCTAATAGGAATTAAACTGAATATCTTGATTGGACCTTTGCAAAGAGTGAATATAATATGTGCCAAAATAAAATAAAATTCACAAAAAATGTTGTAAGTTTAGAAATTAAATATTCTAAAGTACCTAATTTTGAACTTAATCGATTTGTCTGAAATTTTCTTTTGATTAATTAATCATTCAATGCTTGTTGAACATTAGACTAATTTATTTGATATAAGATATTTATAATCCAATAATATTAAGTATAAATAGTCCAGTAAATATTTAATCAAAGTTCATTATACAACAATATGAATTTTTTAGATCTAAATTCAGCAATAAGAACTGTAATTAGAGCATTTAATTCATTAAGATTATCATTTAAGTTAG